GGACAATTTCCATGGAAAACAAAGCCAAACGAACATCAAAAGATCCAAAATTTCAACATTTTTCAGGTGGAAAATTATACTAATCCACAATTAATTAAAATTTCCAGTAAAACAAATTCAAGGCAATTCAATTCCCTATAATTCATTTTCTTTTCATCCAAATTCCACATTTACAATCAAACGGACCTTAATATTACATATTCTCTTATTTTACCTTTCAAAAATAGAAAAGTTAGAGATGCATGTTTTTATAAATTAAACCTCAAAAAATCCTTTCTACATTTCACTTGAGTTGAGGAAATCAAGCGTAATTATTTCGTCGTACAAAAAATAGTTTTTTTTTTTTTTCCTTATTACACAACTAATAGCTTATTTGGAAAAATAATGTTATTTTGGAGATGATTCCCATGTGATACGACTATTTGATTTTATTAAATAAAAAAAATAGATATAAATACAAGTCAAAGTCAATAATTTATTTTATTACACATTTCTTGAAACCTTTTGACTTTTAATCACCAAAGTTGGGCACTAAGAAGACTGATTTTTATTTAATCCAATCAGGGCTTAAATGATAAAATCAGTAAAATGTCCTCATACCGTACATTTATTGATGAATAAGACCTCCATAAAAATGATTCCACGTTGTCAGATAATGTAATGGACCAAAAATAGATTCTCAAATCCTAAATTAAAACCCTGAACAGGGAGTTTAGATTCCCAAATCATGGCGTCATTTTTCCCACAGAATGGCAACATTTTTTCTCAGCTCCCATACTCCACAGGCCCTCCAAACCCTACTTCCCCCACCCGCCATGGCTGTAAATATGTTCTCATGCAACGCCATTTTCCTCACACTTTCCATAAATTCTTGCGCCCACGTCACTCGCCACTGCCGTGTACTAGTGCCCAACTTTGGTGAGGTTTCGGGTTCTTATAGACATTTTCGTAAACACAAGCAAGTCACAAGTTGGCTTCAAATTTGAAGGCTTCGTTTTTGATCTTTCTATCATTCTCTCTGTAAAATTTCTATTATGGGCTCGCTATCTGCTGTTCATGAGCAGATTAAGTACCCTTCTGCTCGACGTGATGAAGCTGTTGTTGATGATTATCACGGTGTAACGATTACTGACCCTTACCGATGGTAAATTCTTGAGAATTTATTTTATTGTTTCAATTTGTGAAAAAAACAGAAGTGAGAAGTGAGACTTGGTGTTAATTAAGATAGATAAATTTCCAAATAATAAAATATTAATTTCTTGCGAAACTTTCATTCTGAGAAAGTGAGAATTGAATTCCATGCCAAGGAAAATTGTTAAATCTTTTAAAACTGCATGACTGGTATCATGGAAATTATCAAGGACTTCTTTCCCCTTTTTTAGCTCTTATTTTTCCTAATTTTAGAAATACTGGTTTGATGGTTTTTGGCTAGGCTTGAGGATCCAGATTCAGAGGAAACCAGGGAGTTTGTGGAAAAGCAGGTGGAATTAACAGATTCCGTGCTTAAAACATGTGAAACGAGAGAAAAGCTCCGCAAAGAACTTACTGAAATGTTTGATTTTCCGAAGTATGATACTCCGTTTAGGGCCGGTGATAAGTTCTTTTACTTCCATAACTCCGGTTTACAACCTCAAAAAGTCCTATACATTCAGGTAATTGTCAAGATTTGATTTTTATTTTATTTTTTCTAAGTTTTATAATTACTCAACAATTTATTTGGAATTTTAATGTGATGTATTATAGGATAGTTTGGATGGACAACCGGAGATTTTGCTTGATCCAAATACACTAAGTCAGGATGGCACTGTGTCATTGAGAATGTGTTCAGCTAGTGAGGATGCCAAGTACTTGGCCTATGGCATTAGTACGAGTGGAAGCGATTGGGTTACCATTAAAGTTATGCGGATTGAGGATAAGATTGTTGAGCCTGATACTGTTTCATGGGTAACATTTATGTATTGGAAAATATTGAGCATGTTTGGCTAGGCAAAAATAAATAAAAAGTACTTATACACCAAGTAAAAACATGCTTTAAAAAATACTCTTTCTGTTCCACAAAAATAGTTTTGTTTTCATTTTCACACATTGAATAATAAATTTTACTTACATTTTTTCTAATATACCCCTACATTGAATAATGATTTAAATAGGAGTATGTCATATTTGTTGATAACAAGGGATATTATGGAAGTAGCATGTTTTTGAACTAAAAGTTACTTTTACTTTTTTTCTTGTATGCGTGCTTGGGACAAATTTTTGGCTAAGCTTAAAATTTACTTTTTTACCTTAGCCAAACATATGAGGTGCTATTTCAGATACTCTTTTTTGTTGCTTAGCTTGTGTTTGGGGTTCACAAGTAACCATGATGTAACTTGTTGTTTAATGCAGGTAAAGTTTTCTAGTATTAGTTGGACACATGATAGCAAAGGTTTTTTCTATAGCCGTTATCCAGCTCTGAAGTAAGTGATGAATCTTAGTGATATCCCATTTACCCATTTACATTTGAATGATTTGTATGCGTGATTAAAAACTTTGGATTCTCACTATGTATTTAATTTTTCACTGAAAGATTTTGTATTTGAAAAAGAAAAATAAACATTTTGTCATTATTTGCATATTTTATTGAATGAATGTGAACAATTATTGTGGAACATATAAAGAATTTGACATTTTCGTTCACAAAATTTGGTGCTCTTTAGTTTCATAACCAACATGCCATGGGAAATGAGGACAAAACTTGGAATTTTTTATTCTATGGACTTGGAAGTAATGTTTCTGAGCTTTTTAAACTTAGAGGATTGTGAATTTGGTTCTTGATGTGAATTTCATCTTGGATGGTTTGTATTTAGGGATGGAGCAACGTTGGATGCTGGGACAGAGACAAGTGTTAATCTACACCATGAGCTGTATTATCATTTTTTAGGCACGGATCAGTCTGAAGATATCTTATGTTGGAATGATCCCGACAATCCTAAACATACTCGGACAGCATCAGTGACCGAAGATGGGAAGGTACTAAATTCAACTGTGTCAAACTTTGTTAAAAATTGCTGATAAAAACAGTTTTGATTATTTTTCTTCAATTCTTGGCAGCATCTTTGATTTATGAAAACTCGAAAGATAGACATGAACTATGGTTTCTGAAAGGTGATAGCATATCGTTAACTTATCACCAAAATGAGGATAACTAGAATGCTACATATTGATGAACTGTGTCGGAGTAATTAATTTGCACGAAAATTCAGTACATCTTTACGATAGTCTACTACTCGGGGAAATTAAAATATCGTGAAAATGAACTTTGATTCTTTTGATGTTACAGAAAAGTACACACTTCAGTCATTTTAAACCCGGTCATGACTGATGGCCATAAACATAAATAAAATTCTAGACCTGATATTTAGTGTTGAATATCCTTGTGAGATTGGGTGTACACTTCTGTTCTTGGTTTCTATGAATCAGATTTCATCTTATTTTCTGGAAACAAGAACCTTGACTGCCTTATTTAAATTTTCTTATCTTTTATCCTTGCCCTAATATTTTCTCTCTGTGTAGTCTGTTCTATTTATTAATTAATTTTTTTCCTTTTGAATGTGCAGTATGTTCTCTTATACACTTTTGAAAATTGTGATCCTGTCAATAAAATTTATTACTGTGACCTATCAGCACTGTCTAATGGGCTTGAAGGTTATAAGGGTAAAAAAGAATTGCTTCCCTTTGTCAAGCTTGTTGATAAGTTTGATGCTTCTTATGATCATGTTGCAAATGATGACACCGTTTTCACATTTCGGACTAATAAAAATGCTCCAAAATACAAGCTAGTCCGAGTTGATCTGAATGATCCCAGCTCGTGGATTGAAATCCTCGATGAAAATGAGAAAGATGTGCTTGAATCAGCTGTGGCCATCAATGGAAATCAAATGGTTGTGAATTATTTGAGTGATGTAAAGAATGTTTTGCAGTTAAGGGACTTGAACACAGGTACACTGCTGCATCATCTACCAATTGAAATTGGAACAGTATCTAGTATTTCTGGTAAACGCAAGGACAGTATCTTCTTTACTGGGTTTACAAGCTTCCTTATTCCTGGTATTATATATATTTGCAATCTAGACGCCGTGGTCCCAGATTTGAGAATATTCCGAGAAATTTTTGTGCCTGGATTTGACCGGACAGAGTTCGAAGTCAATCAGGTATTCTTTTTCATCTAGACTTTCATTGAAGTAGTGGATAACATGTGAGGGTTATTATACACTGAAGGTCATGTTTAAATTCTCTATTCCATATATTTTATTCCATCCGGTCCATGTTTCTAGTTCCCAGATCCAATAATATCCTTTTAAGGAAAAAAGCAATAGTTCCCCTTCTATTAAGTTCATTTGTTGGTACTAAACTAACCTTCTTTCTTACCGTTTCCTTGATTGGGGTTTCCTTTTTCAGGTTTTCGTGCCTAGTAAAGATGGCATTCAGATACCAATGTTTATAGTCGCCAGAAAGGATATTTGCCTGGATCAATCTCATCCTTGTTTATTGTATGGATATGGTGGTTTTAGTGTCAGTCTTACACCATATTTTTCCGTGAGCCGTGTTGTGATTGCAAGACATTTAGATATTGTCTTCTGCATGGCAAACATTCGTGGTGGTGGAGAATATGGAGAAGAATGGCATAAAGCAGGTGCACTTGCTAAAAAGCAAAATTGCTTTGATGACTTCATTTCTGCTTCTGAATATCTCGTCTCTGCTGGTTATACCCAGCCCAAAAAGTTGTGTATCGAAGGTGGAAGCAATGGCGGGCTTCTTATTGGGGCCTGCATCAATCAGGTATTTATTTATTTTCATCTTTTTTCCATTAAATTTGTCCATTTTTTGTTTTAATTGTTTTCAAGATTCGAAATTTTGTGATTGCAGAGACCCAATCTTTTTGGCTGTGCTCTTGCTCATGTTGGTGTAATGGATATGCTAAGGTTCCACAAGTTCACAATAGGTGAGAGTAAATTCTATACGCTTCCTTTTTTGCTTTATTACTTTCTGTTTTGTTCTTCACATCCTAATTCCACACCAGGCCATGCATGGACATCTGACTTTGGCTGTTCAGAGAATGAGGAAGAGTTCCGTTGGCTAATCAAGTGAGTTGTTACAGCCTCATAAGGGGAATATGGTCCTTCCGCTTTAGGCTGTGCCATTGCTCTAGTTATTTCTTTTTTGACAATTCCGCTAGAATTTTTAGTTTATCATAATTAAAATGCACGTGGTTCTATCCTACTTCATTCTCTTCCATCTTAAAAATGAAGGCAATATCGTTTTCTCTACTTTCCAGTTAGATAGTGTTTTGTGAGAATTTATCCTGTCCTCATAATTAAATTTATAATTTCTGTTATGTATATTATAGTTTGTATGTAATTGTTTTCACTTCTTTTGCGGCTAAAACGTTTTCCTCAGGTACTCGCCCCTGCATAATGTCAAGAGACCATGGGATGAATCTGCTGATAAGGCCACTCAGTATCCACCCACCATGTTATTGACAGCCGATCACGATGACCGGGTTGTGCCACTGCACTCGTTTAAGTTCCTGGCAGTAAGTTTAACTATTGATAATTAACTTTTTTTTATCTCCTGTCCATGAACTCCGTTCTGTCTTGTCTTTAGTTGATTCGTAAATTGTCTCATCTCTGCTTGGCATTCGTTCGTGATAATTGATTCTGTCAAAACGAGCTTGTAGAGTTGTAGTTGAGATGACAATAACTGGGCAGTGTTTTGTTTGAATTAGAACAAAAAAAGTTATTTCATTGGAAAAGAGACTATTATTATGTGAAAATCATCATTGGCGGTCTTGTTAAATTGCTCTTTTGTTTATTTAGACCATGCAATATATTCTATGCACAAGCTTAGAGAGAAGTCCTCAAACGAACCCGATTGTCAGTCGAATAGAACGGAAGGCTGGGCATGGATGTGGACGTCCAACGCAGAAATTGGTAGATTTCTTAATCTTTCGACTTCCACTTTGTACCCTGGGGTAATAGTTGTACTGGTAAATTGACTTTGAATGTCGGTGTCTCAGATTGACGAAGCTGCGGACAGATATGGGTTCATGGCAAAGATGCTGGATGCATCCTGGATTGATTAGAAATGCTAATGACACTGAATGAGCTTCTGGATTGCATTTTTGGCAGGGTCAGGTTATATTAGTGTAGATGTGTGTTCTTTTTCGAGTGCACAAGGCATGGTTGGGTTTTTTTTTTTTTTTTCAAAAATACCGTTGAATAATGTATAATCTATTATTATCGAACATGTCAACTGGCGCAAAGGTAGAAGAATGGGGACCTATCAAGGGACATTCTATGTACCATGTAAATTGTGTTAATGTGCCTTTAGGAAAGGGTTGCTAGGTTTTCTTGCCATAAGCTTCCATGCCAAATTTCAGACAGCTTGTGTATATATGTTCCAATCTATCAAAATTTAGTCATATTTCAGCTTTTATATATAATCTCAAAATTTTGTTTTAGGCATTCATGTCAAGTCACAATTGAAAATAGTAATACGACCCATCGACTGGCTAATGGATAAAAGACTGCTCCAGCCCATTCCCCATGAAAGCAACAACATTAAGTTCTTGTTGGTATAGATTAAAATTAGATTTTTGGTAAAATTTTTAAAAAAATGATAAAAATTGTGGTTGAAAAGTTGTGGGTCCAATAAAATATGTGATTAAAACTAATTATGACCTAATTATGACTTTGATTTGAAATTTTTATTAGCTTTTAATTTACAGCAAATAGGGTTTAAGTCCAAGTTTGACAAATTTATAAATGGGAATAATAAGAGAAAAAATAAGTCAATTTTAATTTTTTCGAAAATGATATATAACGAAAAAAAACATAAATTGTTCAAGTTTATTTTCTGAAAAATAAAAACTGACATTTAGAAATCGGCAATTTAAAATGGAACTGAACTATAAGACCAATTTTTTCTAATCATTTTCTGAAAACTAATGTTTAAAGAAAAAGGAAATACCAAAAAAAAAAAAAATAGAAAATATGCAACTTTGCTCCCTAATATATTGTCTAAATTGAAAGTTAGCCCTCAATCTATAAAAATGACAAGTTGGTCCCACACTTGCAATGTAGCCCTTGTTTGATACCCATTTTATGGAAGATTTTGATTTGGAATAATGATTGATGGAAGAATGTGTGGTTAAAAAGTAAGGAAAATTTTTGGGTTTATGTGTAATATTATTTTATTGATAGAATGTGTGGTTTAAATGAAGAAAGAGAAAAAGATAAGAGTTAGAAAAAAATGGATATTTGGAATAATGATTGATGGAAGAATGTGTGGTTAAAAAGTAAGGAAAATTTTTGAATTTATGTGTAATATTATTTTATTCATAGAATATGTTGTTGAAATGAAAAAAGTGAAAAAAAAAATGAGAATGAGAATGAGAAAAAAAAATGTCAAACAAGGGCGTAGTTTGTATCTTTAGTTTCGTATCAAGAGTATAATAAGTAAATTTGTACTTTTTAACACTCGCTTTTTGGCCATGACAAATGCCCCCACATTCTTATACATGAACAAAATCGCAATAACGAAATGATGTTGTGCAATATCCATGAGCCGTAGACTCCTAATTATTGGATCTAATCTTCCACGAAAGTATGAAATTTTGCATATTTTGACCTATATCTGAAATTTGTGAAAACCATCTAAAACTCTATTAAATTGTCATATGAACCTTACATGAGCACCTTTATAAAAGAAAAAAAAAAACTATTAGGACCATGAAATAGAGATGACAAACAAACTCGTCGACTCAGACAGCTCGCGAACCAGCTCGAGACTCAATAAAATTGAGCCAAGCCCAAAATTCGAGACGTGGCCCAAGCCTAGGCCGCCCTCGTGTGGCTTGTTGAGCTACACGGGTCAGCTCGTAAATGAGCCATTTTTTGGCTTGTGTCTACTTTCTTTTTGCATGATATTGCCTGCAAAAAGCATACAACCTACAGTTGCTTGCAGTTGTAGCTACAAAGGCAACTACAGTTCACTCCCATCATTTATACGTTTTGTATATTTGTCAAAGAGATGTTATGTTATACAGAACTGAAATTTAGTTCTAATTTTATTGGCAATAAATATTCAGGCTAAAATCTTGTTTTTGCTGTCAATTTTTCAACTTGATAGTATAATGGTCGAGGAGTTACAGTAGATCTAATGATAGGATATTGTAAGTTTTTAAATTCATTTGTTGATTTAATTATGTGATTTTTAAATTCATTTGTTTTAAGAAAATTAGTACAATTTTAACTCTACCTTAGTTGATTGTAGTTGATCCTAAGCCCAAAAAATGAAGAGGATTTGTAACTTTTATTTAACCTACAACTAGTATAAATTGCAAAAAATTTACATTGTTAAAAAGAATTTAGGATTTCACGAATTTTAAAAATAGCCGCTCGGATCGGTGAAGCCCAAGTCAAGCCTTAAAACTACATTGTGCATATACTATAGAAGAATTGTATTATTAATATTTCGGAACCAACAGTGTAAAACTTCGCAGAATCTGGACCGTTTGTACATTTGTGATCAAAATATTGATATCTTAGTGTTTCGTAGTTTGATTGTCATGAAATTTGGACATCAGGTTAATAACCCATTGTTCTTCAAATCAAACGGTCATGATTAAATTACAACGATCCATTCGTAAGAAATATATACGTGAACAATAACCAAATTCTTTTAAAATAGTTGTTTAGTATAAGAATTGCATAATGTCTAAATTACACAAATTGTATGATTACATTAAATAATTATTCTAATGCACGCATCCACCTATTAATTTCAATTGATAAACTATCACGTTTTTATTAATTGATTGTTATATACAGACTATAATCATTACATTGTGCATATTTAGTTTTTGTATTCAGTTGCAAGTTATAATTGATCACAAAATAAAACATATTATTTGTATATATTTAATTGGTATGTTTAATTTGTTGTTGCTCCCGAAGAAGCACAATGTTATACTATTTTGAAAGAATATTATTAGCTCCTGAATAACATGATATTACATTTTCAATATTCTAGAAGAATATTGACATACTGTTCATAAGAAGCACAACTTAAAATGAAGAAAATTGGGTGGATGTTCCTGAAGAAACATAACCCAACTACGTAAATATTCAAGAAAAATATTTTTTTGTTATTCTTAAAAAATATTAAAAGAAGGTTTGATTTGATTTTTTATGAGAACTTTATGAAATCTCCACAAGAGTCAATATTATGTGATATGAAGGAACAAACTTACTATTGCTAGTAATTGTTCTCCACTAAATAAAGAGAAACCTACAAAGTTTTATGAAAATTTTATGAAATATCCATGAGAGTCAATATTATGTAATATGGAGAGATAAATTTACTATTGCTAGTAAATAAAAAGAAATCTACAAAGTTTTTAACAATGTTTCTTAATTGATACACTATACTGATATTAGAACTATTAAAATAAACATTGTATTGAACCAAAAGTTCAATTACTTTATTATTTTATTATTGACATATCTAGTTAGACCACTACTGGATCAATAGATACAAAATGAGAATTCAAATGTATATGTAATGAAGGGTTACGAAATTCTTCAATCCAATGAATTCACATATAATGCTTATTCTCTATTTCATAACTTGGTCATTGACTATCTCTAGCTAACGTTGGGAATAAATCCTTAAAATCTTGAAAATTAACTAGGATGATATATGGGACCACATCATTCTCCATGTTGATCATCTAAATATTATTAGTATGTAATAGAAATGATACATCTACTTGATGATTACATGGTGTTCTCAACCTGAAGTTTGTGAGATTATTTGCTCGAATTTATATTTTGAGCATAATTTTTAGATTATACAATCAAGACTCTGTGTTTTGTTAATACTAGTAAAACTTAAATTTCAACATTTTTCTAAGTGTTAGTTGGATTGACGATAAATGGTTTAACACTATTGTTTGTTAAATACCTTCAATTAATTTTTAAACAATTACTATTGAGAACCAATTGCTTTCCAGTTTTGTGTAGAATATGCTATTAGCCAAATTTGGCTTATGATCAAAGATAAAAAAAATATTTGGCTTATGATCAAAAAATATGCTATATCAAAGTTTTTTTGGCCAAATTTGGCTTATGATCAAAGATAAAAAAAATTCATCTAATTATTTTCATAGTGCAATAGATGTACAATTGATAACCACAATGCACTGAGATGAAAATTAAAGAATTCTAAAAATAAATATATAATTTGAACCCTTATACAATATCTCAAAATCTAATGGATGGTATATTATAGCGTGGTTTGTTGAATGTCAATTTACTAAACAATTTTCTCAATATTAAGGTGAGAAATTAAAAAGTTGAAAATAATATACAAAATGAACCAATATATTATCTAGATCCTCACAAAGATAATTCAAACTGTAAGTTTGAAAAATAATTCATTTTGATGTATTCACTGATCAAGAGATTAACACTATCGTACAAACGAACTTTAAATGCTCCAACTCAAATCGACGTCTTGGGAAGACAAATATATATGGTACGCCTAAAGCGTGAATGCATTCGATTCTAAAAAAAATCTCCAAAAGAAAATGGAGCATATAAACATATGGTTCCATTTTTGAGGCATATTCTTGGAGAACATATAAACATAACTAATTATAAAACCCAGAATAGGTTCAAATATTAGAAATATTGAAAGTGGAGATCTCTCATTAAATTACGTTATTATAAAAATAAATAAAAACAAAAGGAAAAAGTTGTCAACAACACTTTTGCATATGGTGTACCGTTTCAAATCATATTGATAGAAGAAATTATGGCCAAATAGATGGGCGCAATTATTACAAAATTGAATTTACTAGAGAAATTTGAAATGCCTAGATTCACAATCCGAACACCTAAAGGTGTATATTTATGCGAAATGAGAATAGAAAAAAATAAAGTTGTAATATGTAATATACGACTATTAGTATAATGAAATTCTCAAAGACCTATATAAATAGATAAATTGTCATGTGGTTGATGCAATCACAAGTCTCTATCTTGTTGGCCTAACAATGCATAAAATTTGATATGCATA